ACAAGAAGCTCCAAACGACTGCGACAGTTTAAACGATAAAAAAAGCAGAGGATCGTTGGAACAGCGATAAAACTGTTCTCGCTCCATTTCAAGATTTCCCTCGAAAGTTAAAATCCATCGTATCCCCTCGAGCGTGGCGTGGAATCGACGAGAAAAAGTTACACGAAGCCTTTCTCCTCGCCGCGATTATCCGTCTGGTATTTAGAATACGAGTAATTCAAGCTTTCTATGAAATACTTTAAACGCTTAACGGACTGAAAATCCATCGGTGGTTACACTTTTTGGTGCTCTGATTGTTTATTGGGAAAGTATGAACTTTTGTTGAACTCACGGTAACGGACAATGATTTCACCGTTTCAGATCAGTATTTGAGAGAAAAGTATTGTAAAATGATACTTGAGGATTTCATTTTATTTGATGTTTAATTGCATGATTTGAATTTGGTAATTTTGGTATGTGGTGGTTTGATAATTTAGGAATTCGATGGTCTGAGAATTTAGAAATTTTTCGTGTTTATCAAATTTAGAAATTTATGGTTTATCTGATTTTTCAGTTTCCAAATTTTTCACTTCAAATTCTTTAATTTTCTTAATTTTTCACTTCATGTTTTTTAATTTTTTTAACTTTCCACTCCAAGTTTATTAATTTTCCTAATTTTTCACTTCAAGTTTTTTAATTTTTTTAACTTTCCACTCCAAGTTTATTAATTTTCCTAATTTTTCACTTCAAGTTTTTTAATTTTTTTAACTTTCCACTCCAAGTTTATTAATTTTCCTAATTTTTCACTTCAAGTTTTTTAATTTTTTTAACTTTCCACTCCAAGTTTATTAATTTTCCTAATTTTTCACTTCAAGTTTTTTAATTTTTTTAACTTTCCACTCCAAGTTTATTAATTTTCCTAATTTTTCACTTCAAGTTTTTTAATTTTTTTAACTTTCCACTCCAAGTTTATTAATTTTCCTAATTTTTCACTTCAAGTTTTTTAATTTTTTTAACTTTCCACTCCAAGTTTATTAATTTTCCTAATTTTTCACTTCAAGTTTTTTAATTTTTTTAACTTTCCACTCCAAGTTTATTAATTTTCCTAATTTTTCACTTCAAGTTTTTTAATTTTTTTAACTTTTCAGTTCAAGTTTTTTAATTTTTCACTTCAAGTTTTTTATTTTTTCAATTCAAGTTTTTTAATTTTTCAGTTCAAGGTTTTTAACTTTTCATTTCAAGTTCTTTAATTTTCTTAACTTTTGATATCAGGTTTCTGTATTTTCTCAACTTTCAATCTCATAAATTTTTCAATTTGAAAATTCCGAAAATGTCTCTCAAAAATAACTCAAGAAACCAGATTCCATCAAAGCCATTACTTACACTATTTTCAAACAAATCTCGAACTCGTAAATACTTGCACTTAAAATATCTATTTCACCAGATTAATTCCTTAACGCAATGATGAATTACGACACAACAAAGAATCTATCAAGCATATATTATGTATACGCATACCTATGTACATATGTAGACTATGAAGCACAATGCAGGATAATATAATATCGTGTCATACATTTCAAATGGGTTAAGGTTGATTTATATTAGCAACGATGCGGTCTCGCCAAGTATCACTCAAATCTTCTTGCTTGAAAGCAACAGGATTTGAACTCGTGTTCTCAGTTCAAGTTTTTTAATTTTTCACTTCAAGTTTTTTATTTTTTCAATTCAAGTTTTTTAATTTTTCAGTTCAAGGTTTTTAACTTTTCATTTCAAGTTCTTTAATTTTCTTAACTTTTGATATCAGGTTTCTGTATTTTCTCAACTTTCAATCTCATAAATTTTTCAATTTGAAAATTCCGAAAATGTCTCTCAAAAATAACTCAAGAAACCAGATTCCATCAAAGCCATTACTTACACTATTTTCAAACAAATCTCGAACTCGTAAATACTTGCACTTAAAATATCTATTTCACCAGATTAATTCCTTAACGCAATGATGAATTACGACACAACAAAGAATCTATCAAGCATATATTATGTATACGCATACCTATGTACATATGTAGACTATGAAGCACAATGCAGGATAATATAATATCGTGTCATACATTTCAAATGGGTTAAGGTTGATTTATATTAGCAACGATGCGGTCTCGCCAAGTATCACTCAAATCTTCTTGCTTGAAAGCAACAGGATTTGAACTCGTGTTCCAACGAAACGGTAAACTAAATTCTACGTAAATAAATTCGCTAAAACAGCGTCATAATTCTTCCGGAGTGTTGCCTATTTGCTCTTAGGAAAAAAAATAACACGGAAAATACATTGAAATATTGCACCGTGGTTTATTTTCGAATGCGATAAATTGAGTGCTGTATTATATTTTTTACCACACTCGGTGGTGTACGTTATACCAGTGTAAGTTACACTTTGATTTAATAATGAAATTGTAAGACGAAAATCGGTCAATAACGATCGAATATTGAATATAAGTATGGAGCTAATTATTTTCTCTTTTGTTTTCAAGGTTGATAAGTTTCCATTTTTGTATTCTTGTGTTTTCCCGCGCTTGGCGGAGTCATCGAGTGTTAGGTTAGGAAGCGTCACCTTTTCCCGCCTTTTTTAATTTTGTGTAATACTTTTTATATTAAATAAAGTATGTGTGCTGTAGTTATATTTCTGTGAATGTTAATAAAATTCACAACAAAAAAGACACTAATCAAAATCAATGTAGGTTTTGATAAAAATAAATTGTGTGACTTATAGGACACTTGCGAACTGGTTATTCGATAGGTTAGGTTAGTAAAATATTGTAAGTAGTCTACTAAATAAAATATTGTAAATAATCTAATAACTAAATGTCACAAACAGTCAACTAAGTAAAATATTGTAAATAACCGAATAAATAAAATATTGTAAATAATCTAATAACTAAATATCACAAACAGTCAACTAAGTAAAATATTGCAAATAACCTAATAAATAAAATATTGTAAATAATCAAATAACTAAATATCACAAACAGTCAACTAAGTAAAATATTGTAAATAACCTAATAACTAAAATGTTGTAAATAATCTAATAACTAAATATTAGAATCAACTAAATAAAATATTGTAAAAAATTTATTAAATAAACTATTATTTCAGAAAATTCTACAACCTCAAATCCTAATAAAAATGCAAAAAATGTTAAAGTAAAGTACATGAAAGAGTAAAGCTTGTAATTTACAAAAATTTGCATCCTCAAAAACAGAGATATTAAAGGTAAAGCCAAGGATAATTGAAAACCAGCGAAATTACTTAATGCATTTCATAATCGATGCGTAATCGCATATTGATTACCCCTGTACACAGTATGAATACTTTTTGATCAAACATTAGCGTAGTAAAAGGGTTAAGGATGATTAATCGGCACGCGAGAGAATTTTGATCGAGTTTATCAAAGTCGCATCACTCAGTCTCCCTCGAGACGCAAGATCGATGGTATTACGACGATGAAGATGATGAAATCATAATCGGATGTCGAATAATCCATTTATTAGAAAATTCGAAACCGAAAGAGGAAAAGTTAAATACGTTCTCATCAACCCTTATGTAATCGAAACTTCCACTTTACAAGTTTTAGTACAATTTTTACATTCTTCAAATTTTATGATACATTTACAAATATTATATAAATGCATGAAGTGTAAATTAAAGAATGTACAAATTTTTGAATTTCTTCATCTCAAATTTTTCATTTTTATATTTCAAGGTTTATAAATTATGAAATTGTGGGACGTTAAAATTTTTTAATTTCTTCATCTCAAATTTTTCATTTTTACATTTCAAGGTTTATAATTAATGGAATTGTAAGACATCAAAATTTTTTAATTTCTTCATCTCAAATTTTTCATTCTAATATTTCAAGGTTTATAAATTATGGAATCGTAAAACACCAAAATTTTTGAATTTCTTCATCTCAAATTTTTCATTCTTACATTTCAAGGTTTATAAATTATGAAATTGTGACACACCAAAATTCTTCAATCTCGAAATTGTCAAACTTGTAGAATAAATAAATACTTTAAAATATTCAATTAATTCTCATTTCACTACAACTTATATTAATTTTTTTTAGACAAGAAACTTGCACAAAACAGAAACATATTTCACAAAAACTATTCAATAAATTTCTAACGCCTTGCGCAACCAGCACCACGCATGACTGGACATTAATTGAAGACACTACAAATACTCGCGTATACAACTTGCTATAAATGTCGTTTTTCTTTCTTTCCTCCTGTTTCTTTGTTCATTCAGCGAGAAGTGAATGGACGTTACGTGGACATTGTTCTTCGAGAAAGTTTCGTGTAATGGTAGCTCGTGGTGTCGTTTGAGCACCGAGCTGCGTTTCTTCTTTTATGACAGACAACCTGCTATAATCATGATCTTAAATAACGTTGGAACGAGATAAAAGATTTTACAACGGTATCTTCAAAAATTAGTAATAAAAGACTAGTCCGACACGGTGGATGCCTATTTTCACTTCTTGTTTATTGTTTTGTTTTTAGGACATAAATATGAAATCACGTTCCAGAATACCAAATCCATAAATTTCTAAATTTAAAAATTGTTCGAGTCTCCAAACTTCTGTAAATTCCCAACCCCACAAATTCACAACGTTCCAAAATACCAAATCCATAAATTTGTAAATTTAAAAATTGTTCGAGTCTCCAAACCTCTGTAAATTCCCAACCCCACAAATTCACAACGTTCCAAAATACCAAATCCATAAATTTTTAAATTTGTAAATTTAAAAATTGTTCAAGTCTCCAAACTTCAGTGTCTGTAAATTCCCAGCCCCAAAAATTCACAACGTTCCAAAATACCAAATGCATAAATTTCTAAATTTAAAAATTGTTCAAGTCTTCAAATTAAAAAATAGAATTATAGATTACTTCTATAGCTATCTATAGAAAATAAAACCATGTAATTTTACACATGTATGTACATATGTTGAACAGTCGTGAACTCACCTCGTATGCTCTGAACAGCAGATACAGCTCCCTCGGCTTGGCGTCCATCGGCAAGCCGCTCACGAACAAGGTGCGTACCTGTGACAGGAGAAAGAAAGCGATAATTCAGTTAATTAAGCTAATTGTCGTTGCCAAGGAACGAAAGAAACAAAGAAGGAGCCACGGTCGGAGAAGGATTCGAGTTGAACGGATGGAGATAACCGGGAATTAGTCTACTCTGTTTGACTGGTGCCCTCGAAGGAACGAAACGATAGCTGATTGTCGAATTAATGAGAGACGGTAATGCTACGATGAACTCCTTTTCTCTCTCTTCTCTTCTCTCTTCTTAATTCGACGATCGATTTCGACCGATCTTTTTGCTCTTAGAGTGCATCTGTCTTTTCATTTAGACGATACGTTGTTTACATGAAATTTCAAAATGGATTTAAGATGTAGATAATTTAATATGTGGATTTAATAAAAATTGGTGAAATATGTACGAAGAGAAATTTTGTGATTTTGATAATCTTGTTATGAAATTTTTATGGAGAGATTTTTTATAGTTAGGTTACGTTAAATGATAGATACGATTTAATTTAGAGTATATTTGCTGATTTAATTGAAAATGATTTTAATTTATACCATTTCTGTTTGTATTGTTCTCAAGTTCTCAAATATCTATACTTTTCATTTTTTATTTTTACAAATTTAAAAATTCAGTTGCAACCCCCAAAAAGGAAAATTTAACTCATCAACCCTTACGATTACCTCACAATCCGAAATTGTAATGTACTAATATTTCGTTGTTATCCACATACTATTCTTGACCCACTTTCCCTTCAAAAGCCCCCACGGAAGTAAGCAAAACAGTGACAGTAAATTACATACTGATTTGGCACGCGGCCAACCAGACAGACGATCCTGTGCCATGCTTTCGATAGACTTTCCTCGTCGAAAACGGAATTGCCGTTCGTTGATTCAAGTTTAACACACACGAACGACCGTCAGCAATTCCGTAGACGCTAGTAATTCCCGATGCAGATATATACGGATGCATACGTATGCGAGCAGTCCCGTGAGAACACGGGCATCGATCTACATCTTCTCACGTATTGTCTCCTCGAGAGACGGGGAGAGACGCGATTTCCCAAAGGAATAAAAGCTTCCGAAACAATACTGCGAACAGGTGGATACATACGGGAAACGAGAACAATGCACTATGCAGCTTTCACTGGTTGCATTTATTTCTTTTTTCTAAATTCGCGCTACGGTAATTTAACCCCTTGGCTTGTCACACCGTGTCGCACTCATAACTCACCTTTCTGTCCGAATGCGACAAACCTGCATGGCGATTATGTTCGATTGTAATCTTTCAGATTGCCAAATGCTTGCAATACGAATTTCATTTCATACGATATTTCATTTTTAATGTGCACTTCATTTTGTAGTTTAACGTAGCCATTTTGCGACTAGTTTCAAGTTTTATTCTGTATCATTGAATCATAACCAAAATAATAGGTTTACGACAAAAATGTGTAGAACCTTTTTTATAGAGCTGTTTACAAGCTACATTTTTCGTTTAATACTTTTTTCTCTAGAATCAATACTTTCGTATATACAGGGTGTTACCTGTAACGCTACTCACGCTTCATCCTATTTAAAAAACCCAAGGTGACCTTGACTTTGCCGAGAGAACAAACTGTTTTCAAAATTTGCTTTACTAATATCTATTGTGCACTTCATACCTTGCAAATATTGTTCTAAACTTTTTTTCGTAAGGTGGTTGCAAGTGGGAGAAAAATCGTGAGTAGTCTTAAAGGTAACATCCTGTATAAGATTGCCATAAGTAAGATCTGTACAGAGACTGTTAAATGCAAGATTTATACAAAAATTGCTGAATGCAAGATTTATACAAAAATTGCTGAATGCAAGATTTATAGAAAGATTGTTAAACGCAAGATTTATGCAAAGATTGTTAAACGCAAGATTTATACAAAGATTGTTAAACGCAAGATTTATACAAAGATTGTTAAATTGCAAGACCAAGAATGTACAAAAATTACTAAAATTAACATTTCAAGTTTCATTGTGTATCTCAATATCACAAGAATAGTTTAAATATTTTTAAAATGAAAAACCAGCCAATAATCATATATTCAAGTTGATTTTAAAACAAGAATTTGTACTAACACTTGCATATTTCTCGACAATTGCGAAAGATAGAAAAATAAAGGCATTTAAATAATATTGCAATATTCCATATTTGGACCAATGCCAAGTGTCCACATTTGAGAATCCACGAAAGTGGAAACGCGGTACTCATGAATCCTACAGGCATGTATGTCAACAACGAAAATAAAACAAAGGAACATAGAACAGCAATACGTATGAAAAGTATATCAAATTAACGCCCCGTCAACAAGTTTGAATTATTTTCAACAACAATGAAACAAAGTGGTTTTAACGTGTCATTAGTAGCTGTTCGACGAGTGACGACGTGTGTGATGTTAGAGTGCTGGCCTATAGTTACTTTATAGATATTCGTTTATTTTTAAAAGTGCTGTATTAGGTATTATTTTATATTTGGTCACGTTGTTGTATTATATTATAATTCATTTCTAATTAATTGTTATTAGATGAGGTACAAGGCTTATATGTACATACGACGTTGATAATAATGCTCATATGTATACATATGACTTATACATATGATCATGCTTGTATGTTTATGTTATATGATGTTTATAAATATATTTACATGTATTATATCATGTTTACAATGTATACATCTAAATAATATATAACATTAATAATGATGTTTATATGTATATAATGTATTTTATATAATACATATGGTGTTCATAATCAAATATGATAATGCTTATAATAATAAACAGTATAATCATCTCTTGTGTACACATTATACACAGCAGTGTCCAAAAATTAATAGTAGTAACAGTATTTTCAGTGCGTTTAAAGTTCACAAAGTACAAGAAGCTAAACTTAAAGAAGAAAAAGTAGAAACCACGCAGAGCATCGAAAAGAGAACATTTCTCCGGTCTGATATAGCAACGGACTCGTAAAATTGCAAAAAGGAAGGTAAAGGTTCGCGTTCTTAGCGTCGCGACGCCATGTTCACTTCGGCATGTGCCGGAAGAAGGAGGCTCAACTCTTCCTGCTCGTATAACGCGATGACGTTGATATTCACGAGTACCTATTCAATTTAACCTTGCACCTGTAAGCACCTGATGCTTCGCTAAGGCTTTCCGGATGAGTGAAATCAAGCACGTTGCCGCGACGACGAAATTTGGCGCGAACGTTTCACCCGACAATTCGAGCTACGTTAATTTGGCGCGAAATACAACTTGGATATTTGTTCAAGGGTCGGAAATAGACCTTTCAGTATATCGATTTGAAGAAGATTTGGCTTCATGGTTATTAATATAGGGTTTTGTTGATGTTGATATAAATTAGTTTCTCACAGATGTTAAATTTGAACATTTTGTGGTTTATTGATATTACTGAAACTTTCCACATTTTGAAATCTCCAAATTCTCCAGTTTGCAAATCCTCAAATCTCCAAAATTCTCAAGTCTCCATATTCTCAAACCCAGAATTCTCAAATTCCCAAATTCTCAAATCTTTATAATTCTCAAATCCCCAAATTCCAAAATTCTCAAATTCTAAAATCCCCAAATTCTAAAATTCCCAAATTCTCAAAACCCCAAATTCTAAAACCCTCAAATCCTAAAATCCACAAATTCTAAAATTCCCAAATTCTCAAAACCCCAAATTCTAAAACCCACAAATCCTAAAATCTACAAATTCTAAAATTCCCAAATTCTCAAAACCCCAAATTCTATAACCCACAAATCCTAAAATCTACAAATTCTAAAATTCCCAAATTCTCAAAACCCCAAATTCTAAAACCCACAAATCCTAAAATCTACAAATTCTAAAATTCCCAAATTCTCAAAACCCCAAATTCTAAAACCCACAAATCCTAAAATCTACAAATTCTAAAATTCCCAAATTCTCAAAACCCCAAATTCTAAAACCCACAAATCCTAAAATCTACAAATTCTAAAATTCCCAAATTCTCAAAACCCCAAATTCTAAAACCCACAAATCCTAAAATCTACAAATTCTAAAATTCCCAAATTCTCAAAACCCCAAATTCTATAACCCTCAAATCCTAAAATCCACAAATTCTAAAATTCCCAAATTCTCAAAACCCCAAATTCCAGAACCCTCAAATCCTAAAATCCACAAATTCTAAAATTCCCAAATTCTCAAAACCCCAAATTCTCAAAACCCCAAATTCCAGAACCCTCAAATCCTAAAATCCACAAATTCTAAAATTCCCAAATTCTCAAATCCCCAAATGTATAAACTCCCCAAAGCACAGAACCTAAAATCCCCTAAAAATTTGTCACTTCACTTCCCAAATGTCCAAACGAACAGAAAATAAAAATAAAATAAACAGTAACAAAAAACTGGTAGAATGATAAAATATATAAAGAACCGTGATGTACAACATCATTTAAACATTTGGAGTGGAGCCACGAAAAGGATATTCACATTTTTATTCGCATCGCGTGTTCCCTTTTAATAATCCTTTCTCATATTAAATACTGGTTCCAGTGGCGGGAAACGACGCGACGGTTCGTCGACCGAGCACCGCTTCCGGCTTGACTGGCTTTTGTGAAACACTAAAAACTTTGGTGGTCCTGGTGAAATGAGAGAAAAAGAAGGTATATAACATCGTAACCAACCCTTTGTCAACAGGACGCGGTGACTAAAGGTGCGTACACAGCTGCTCGATTAATTTCATCGATCGCTGTAAATTGATTCGGGTAATTGTTGGAAGAGGTAACAAGAATTTAATTTAATTGCATTTGAAAATTAATGTAGTAATTTAATAAAATTATATGTAGTTATGTAAAATGCAAGATTTAAGGTTGGGGTTAAAATATAAGTATTTTGAATTGTATTTAATTGATTGATTGAATTTTTACAGAATTATATAGATAATTTTATGATTGTGAAAATTATTAGAATTAAGGTTTATTCATAGTGAGTTTTGTTAACTTGAC